ACTCTAACTATTATTCTCCTTGGTATTTACCCAAATGAATTGAAAACTTACAGCCACTAAATTCTGTACATGAATGTTTATAGCCACTTTATTTATAATTGCCAAAACTTGGAAGCAACCATGATAACCTTCAATATATGGAAGGATGAGCAAATAGTGGCACATCCATACAATGAACTATTATTCAATAATTTTAAAAAATGATGGGGCTGGGGTTATGGCTCAGTGGTAGAGTGCTAGCCTCGCACGTGCAAGGCCCTGGGTTCGATCCTCAGCACCACATATAAATAAAATAAAGTTATTGTGTCCAACTACTGCTAAGTGAAAGAAGCTGTCTTAAAAAAACTATAAGCTGTATAATTCCAACTATATGACCTCTGATCTGATCAAAACTATGGAAATGGGAAAAAAGATCAGTGGTTTCCAGGATTGGGAGGAGAAAAGGCTGAATAGGTGAAGCCCAGAGACTTAGGGCAGTGAAAGTATTCTTATGATACAGTGATGGTGAATATATGAAGTCTAACATAACAAATGGACTATAGTTAATGTATCAATATTAGTTTATCAGTTATAACAAATGACCCACGTGTATTATTATTACAAGATATTAATAATAGGGGAAACTGTTTCAAGCAGCTATATGGAACTCTCTTTTCATTCCACTCAATTTTTCTATAATCCTAAAGCTGTTCTAAAAACTGACACTAATTTTAATGAAAAAATAACTTTGAACTACAAGATTATTTAGTATGAACACCCTAAAATTCATTGTGTGCATCAGAAAATCAAGATTGTTGTGAAGATTGGCTAAGAGTTCCATTGACCCTAATGAAAGAGATAACTTGGGATTATTTTAATACAAAATCAAACTTACCTTGCCATCATTAAATCAGTGGTGGAAATCTGATATGACAGCTAGTTGCAGCTTTTAAGTGCAACAGGAATCAAGTATATGGACCAATCTTCATATGCTTTAATGAAACAACAAAAAATACCCAAATTACTTTGCTATGAAAGGCAGATGAAATATAAATTTAGCATTTTCTTTGGCATCCTTTGACTTACATGGTTCATGGCTTAAAAATTATTGAGATAAATTATGTACTCTTCTCAGGAAAATGTTTTTAATTGTTGAGTGATTTTTTTTTTAGCTAAGTAATTAGAAATGTAAAGTATATAATACAAGAAGTACGGATTCCAGAACTCTTAGTGAACTTTCTGTAGCCATTTGTCTTTTAAATATATGGATCTATAATCAAGGGTGAAAGTTATTTCATATCTCTATCTCTCTCTCTCTCTCTCTCTCTCTCTCTCTCTCTCTCTGTCTCTCTCTCTCTCTCACACACACACACACACACACACACACACAATTATTTATCCAGCAAAACCAAGGAAGAAATATGTTGAATATTCTTATGGATTAATTGGAACACTGAACTTCCTCCCCTCCCCTCCCCCTTCTAATAAATCTCATTTTAAATAGCATTCCCTCCTCCTGGGTCAAGGACAGAACAACTGGTTTCATTATTTGGCTCATTAATTAGGTAAATATACTCAAAGATAATACACCTCTACTCTGTCTACTTAGAGAACTCAACTATGTTCACTAGCCAATATCCCAAACTGTATTTGAAACCTTTTAAGTTAAGAGGGTTTCAAATACAGTTTGGGGTATTGGCTATATATCCCCCTGGCTTCAGTCACAAATTTAAAGAACCTGCTGAAATTCACACCACATCTCTGCCTATCCAAAACCAGCTCCTCTCTAGGTCGCTAGTATATTTCTATGGTTCTGCCAGTATCCCAGGTAGTAACACCCTGGACATTGTCCTCTCCTTTTTCTACCACAGGTGCTTTCCTCTGGTCAGTTACCAAAGCAGATAGGTTTACCTTCATATGCTCCCAATTTGTCTCTGTATTCTCATAGTTGTGACTGTCACAACCTTCTAACAAGTTCTCTGCCCCTAGTGTCTTGAATTTTCAATTCCTGAGCACCCATCTTTAATAGGTTTAATCTTCTGAAACAACTCCTTATGGAGTAATGAGAATATAAATTAGTACACGTTTAATGCTTCCATGTACCAGGCATATTGTGTATATTTTCAAGTCTTTCCATTTAAATATCTTCAAATGTCCTATGGAATAACAATTACCATCCCTACTGAACAGAGAAATAAGTGGAGTCACTGAAGAGTAACTTATCCAAAGTTGCATAGTAGTATGTGGCAGTTAAAATCATGCAACCTTCAAGGCTGCAGTCTGAGTACTTAGCCATATCTTTCTTCTGTATATCCACCTTCCTCTTCCATTTGCTCAAACATGTCTTTTTATTATGTATAAAATAAAGGTTTTGGGGGCTGGGGTTGTGGCTCAGTGATAGAGCACTTGCCTAGTATGAGTGAGGCACTGGCAGGGTTCAATCCTCAGCACCACATAAAAAAATAAACAAATAAAATAAGGATATTGCATCCATGTATAACTAAAAATATTTATAAAAAAGGTTTTGACCTGTGTCCATCATCCTCCAGATAATTAGTTTCTACATACTTCCTTTAATGTTCCTGCCTCCTTTTCTCTATTTGTTCCTGCCCCTCTAGCAAAATTGGTAGTCACCTGTTGTTATTTGTCTCTTATACATTGTCATATCTCCCATATTACACTGTTAAAACCTGGAATAGGAACCACGTGTTTGCCTAACACTTTTCTACATAAGGCAATGGACTATTATGGCTGTTTTGTGTGAAAATGTACTGGATATTCTCATGTGATCCTCCCTAAAATCTTCTAATCCAGACATTGCCCCAAATGGTCAGTAACTTGTTAAGAAAAAAAACAATGTGCTATTTAATTTTTCCTTTCCATAAACATTGTACGCCAACAGCAGTAGCGAGAGAAAATAGAGGATGATGTAGGAAGATGAGCAAGACATGGTTCCCTTCTCTCCAGATGCTCACGTTATAGTAGGAAGAAAAAGATACAAACAATTAGGGAGCACCATGGCAAGTTCTATGAAAAAGACCAGTCTGGAGCTCAAGGAAATACCAAATAGGAATGTTTAGTCCAGGGGATCCAGAGGAGCTCCACAGAGGAGAGATGCTTGGCCAGAGCTTAGATGGATGAGTAGAAGCTGACCAGGTAGTTGATGTTTACCCAGTGGTTGAAATCATTCCAAGCAGAGGGATTTACATGTACAATGGCTCTGAGGCATGCCAGTACTTGGAATACTTGAGGAAGAAGGAATAGTACAGTGTAGCTGGAAAAAAAAGACTACTTTAGTGGTGAAAGACAGAGAGTTCAGATTATTGGAAAATTGGGTGGAAGTTGAGTCTACAAGTTTGAAATTTATAGGAACTGAGAGGTGACTGATAGATTTTTTTCAGGGAAAAGCGATGCCAAGATTGTTTTATAAATGGAGGCAACAAGAGAAATGGATAGGAATCGTATGAGACTGGAAATGGATCAGCATAGCTAAAAATGAAAGATGATGAGAGACTAAAGAGTGAGGATGCAGGGGAAAGAAAAGGTTCAGGAGATATGAGCTAGAGCCTATGTAACTGGACACAAAGAATGAGAACTTCGGCAGCATAATGGACTCACGGCATTTGTGCCCTTTGGAGACTAAACTTTCTCTTTTGTTTCCCTTTCTTGTTTTGTGATATATTTTAAAAGGCCCTCCCTGTGATTCTGATACACTCTAACCAGTGCTATAGAAAGATATTACAGAGGCTGAACAGAGAAATGTCCAGTCCTATCTTGCATTTCTTATTCAACAGATATGAGATGAGGCCCAAGCAAGTGATATATTTTTTCTTTTTTTTTAATATCCAAAATGTGTTTATTGGTATGTTTTCCCACTCATCTTGATTCAGGTTGCTTTTAGTGCTGCTTCCTTCTGAAGGAACATCCTTCTGTAAGTCTTACTTTTCCTCCTGTAGGCTGGCAGAGAACAGTGGAGGAGCCAACACACAAAACTACTCTTTGTGCATGGCTAAAAACTGTGGTGATTTTATAGCATCCTGGGCATTTCACATCCATGAAATAGAATTGGGGCTCTGCACCAGGCACCACTTCTTGTGTTTCCTCTTCTCTTCTGGAGAGAGATGAAGGAGATTTTTTGCGAGAGGCATGTTCTCGTGGGGAGGTCATCACCGCCAGAAAGGCAAGCATATGATTTCCAATGAGTTCCCAGGTAATACTGATGCTGCTGGTCCAGGGACCATACTTTAAGAAGCACTGCTTTATAGCACTGACAATGGCCATTTCCTTCCTAAAAGTCTCCTTTCTTGGCATTCTATGCCATCATTTTTCTGCAGACCCACCTCTTCTTATACTGGGAAAACCTGGGGGCAAGAGTATAAACTGAGGCCTATATATTCTATGTGTACTGTTTTAAAATTTATGGTTAAAACTAACCATCTCTTAGGGTATCACACTGAATTATGGCACATGAACAGTGAGCCTCAGGCCTCCCAACCTTGTTTTGTGCTGCATTTGATGGCCTCTTTCACAAGCAACAAGACACCCAGCCTGCTATTCAAGCTTCCTGCACCCCTACCCCATCCACTATCTTAGACAAAAGGATTGGCCCTTGGAAGGACAACCAGAGGCTGAGGCCCAAGTAAGGCCCTTGACACAGGCTTAGATCAATTGATTAGGAAATTCCAGGAGCCTAGGACATAAAGCTTTGACTACAGGGGGTTGTCCATGATGCTGGTGGTATATTCCCTTGGTCCTGGGGCTCATCTTCCTGTGGGAAAGGGTACAGCTGGAAGAAGGATGGGAGAGAACAGGGGCATGTGAAGGTCATGGTCAGGGTGCCCTATGGCCTTGGGATAAGGGTAGTTCAATTTTTTGTTTTTTCTCTTTTATAGTAATGAAGGTTGAACCTAGAGGCAGTCTACCACTTAGCTACATCCCCAACCCTTTTTATTTTGAGACAGGTTCTCACTAAGTTGCTTAGGCTGGCCTTGAACTTGGGATATTCCTGCCTCAGCCTCCCAAATTGCTAAGATTACAGTCATGCACTATCACACCCAAATAGGACCATCAACTTTCCTAACCATTCTGGCTGCTCCTACTCAGTTTCTGTCTTTGGCTGCTCCTATTTACCTCTGCTTCTTGCCCCTCAAATTCTTGTGCTCCCCAGAATTCTTACCTTCTACACCTGAGGCTCTTAATCTGAGAGGTGTCTATGGATGAACTTCAGTAAAATATGTGAACCCCTGAAAAAGGATACAAAATCTTCAGATTCTGAGTGTATATTTTTCCAAGACGAAAAATCGAATCACTTTCAGTATTTTCTCAAAGGGGTTTGTGATATCACACACCCCAAAAAAGATTAAGAACCCCTGCAATATAGATTCTGTTTAGATTTCATTTTTAGGTATTTTTTTATGATTCTCAAAACTATTGTTCATGGGCCTCTGTTTTTATTCTAAGGAGACATCAAACTCTCCCAAGAACCTCAGACTGGAGATTAAGTTGACTGTTTGGCCTTTCTTAATCAGTATCTTAGATACATCTCATTATGAAACTGAAAACTGAATCTGTTGTCTCCCCTAAACATGTTATGTTTTTCCTGTGTCCCCTATTTCATTGCATTGCCTCAAAAAACACCCAGTTGCATAAATCCAAAATCTATCAGTCATCCTCACCCTCTCTTTCTTTAATATCCCCACTTTCAATGGGTCCAAAGTCTACTCTCATTTTTTCTCAAAATCAATCCCATCTCTTTCCTCAAAATTGCCACTATACTAAATTCCATAAGAATGACTTGATCCCTCACTCCAAGAAGATTTGAGGGCTTAAAGATTGGTACTGTTTCCTACTCCTTGCATAGCATGGGATGCAAAGAGGACCTAAAAGTCAAGGTGAAGAAACCAACTTTAGACTACCAATCAGAATTGGTCAAGGATTTTCTACACCATAGCTAAAATTAAATCAATGATGAACTTTTATAATTGGATGCAGTGATAAGTTTAAACGCCTTTCTTCAATTTGATTTTTGTAGTCTCTTCAATACTGTGAAATTTTCAGCACTCACAGTTCTCAAAAGGTATTGCTCCCAGGTTGAGCTCATAAAAGGAGCATTAATACACGGAGGAAAAAAATCCATGTAGATGATTGTTTGTTTTTCAGTCATCTTAAAGCTGGTTTTAATTGTTCTAAAATGAAGGCAGATGCAGTGGACAAAATAACATCTTACATGAAATGCTTTGGGGGAATTGTTGGGAAAAGGTATAATGGCAGCTACACCCCAAATAACCCCAGCATGGCGCCTGAGGAGCTTCTCTTCCTGCCTCTCCCTTTCCTGCCAGCGCCAATTTCAAATCTCGCTGGCAGGAAACCTTAGCCCCAATAAGAACTAATTTTGTGGGCTCCGGAACTGACATCTGGAAGAACTTACCAATAAACGAGTGACAGGTCATTTACCTAAGCCCTGTCACCTCTCCTTAGATCTATATAAGCCCACAGCCTTTTGTAATAAAGTGGAACTCTCCCCAGCGAAGTGTCTTGCTTGGAGGAATTCTTTCAGGAATATCATGCCTGAATAGTGTCCTCAAGAGAAAAAAAAAGACATGATCATTTTGGTCCATTAAAAACTTGTCTGGGGCTGGGGATGTGGCTCAAGCGGTAGCGCGCTCGCCTGGCATGCGTGCGGCCCAGGTTCGATCTTCAGCACCACATACAAACAAAGATGTTGTGTCTGCGGAGAACTAAAAAATAAATATTAAAAAAAAATTCTCGCTCCCTCTTTCACTCTCTCTTAAAAATAAATAAATAAATGAATAAATAAAATAAAAAATAAAAACTTGTCTGCTCGGAAGTCTTTGAACTTATGTAGAAGATAAATCGCACTTAGAAACTGTATTCTTAACATTATGTACAAATACTATTTTTAAAATTTTTTTTAGTTGTCAATGAACTTAATTTTTTTTTATTTTATGCCATTATACATGTCCTCTTTTTTTGCATTACAATTCTTAATACACATATATACCACAATGCGGTGCTGAGAATCGAACCCAGCCTCACACATGCTAAGCAAGTGCTCTACCACTGAGACCAAATACAACCCCAGCCCCGGACACTATTTTTAGAATGTAAATACACCAAGAGGTCTGAATTTACTACAGAGTGTTCTGTGAAAAATATGGCCTCTTGCCAAGTTACTGTGAACTCTGACACCAGTTACAATTCTCAAACCTGTGGACCGAGAACTGGTCTGGGAATAGTGGTTTGTAAGTCAAGGAATGTCATCTAGATTTCCCACATTTTACAAATGGTGAAAGGAAACCTAAAAATAAAAGTATTTCCCGAAGATTGCAGTCAAAAATAGAATTTTTTGTTTACGAGTTCAAATATCAACTGGACATAAGGCCAGCAAAGCTAAGTGAGATAATCAACCAGCTTGTTTCGACCTCTATCTACTTACCCCACAGGAAATTTGTGAGCGCAGCAGTAAACGTTTGGCAAATGTCGGGGCTTCTCTACAGCAATTCTTAGCCTCCACCTCATGGAAACCAGAAAATGCAGCTGCGAAGAACTACATCATTCAGTTCTTATCATGGTGAAGAACTGAGTTTGGACCGCGAATAAAAATATTGTAAAGGGACGAAGAGCAGGAGAAGAAGATTAACATTTAACAGGGATGAGAGGTGGGAGGGAAAGGGAGAGAGAAGGGAAATTGCATGGAAATGGAAGGAGACCCTCAGGGTTATACAGTGGAGGGGGTAGAGAGAGGGGAGAGGTGGGGAGGGGGGAGGGGGGAGGATGGGAAAGGCAGCTGAGCACAACAGACACTAGTATGGCAATATGTAAATCAATGGATGTGTAACTGATGTGATTCTGCAATCTGTGTATGGGGTGAAGGTGGGAGTTCATAACCCACTTGAATCAAAGTGTGGAATATGATATGTCAAGAAATTTGTAATGTTTTGAACAACCAACAATAAAAAATTAAAAAAAAAAAAAAAGAAAAGGGCACAGTCCTAGAATAGCCAGTAGAGGGCACCATACACCAAATGTAGACAACAGAATTTGGGCACAAGTTCTAGATTCTGGTGATCTGAAAGTTCTCAAATAAACACCATGGTAGAGAATACTCATGTGGGCCTATGTTCTGCAGGTACCTGTATTTCTATTAAAGTGTAATCATAAATATATATACATATATATATATATATATATATATATTGTAAAGGCATCCTGACGCTGGGGGGCGCCAGACTCTGTTTTACAGGGTCCATCGAAGCACTTCACGGAAGTTCGGGTGCCCTCAACAAAGAGGGCGCCCGGTGACGTAGGCAAGTCAGATTGCTCTGCGCAGGAGCCGCATTTTGCTAGCTCCCCTGGTATTCGCCTAGGAGAGCTCTAGCGTAGCCAATCAGTACGGTTCCGCAGCCGCATGCGTCTGACGTCAGAAGCCGGGGCTGGCCCGAGTTTTAATTTTGGCGGGTTCCGCGGTAGACTGAGTCTCCTAGCCGGCGCCTGGTGAGAAACGCGGGTTTTGGGCATGCGGGTGGCCCTCGCGCGTCTGTGGGAGGATTTGGAGGAGTCTGAGCATGAGAGGCGCAGAACCGTGGGCGCTCGAGTGGGCGAGGTCCGGGATCGGGCTGCAGCGGGGGCGAGCTGCTGAGCACCGGCTTGGAGCGGGTGCACTAAGGGTGCGGCACGGCGGGGAAGGCGCCTGGGCTCCGGGTCTCCTACTTAAGAAATCAGTTTTGTTTTGTTTTTTAAAGAGTAATCTTTAAAAATACTTGTCAAATGAATGCCTTTTGTTCATTATTGATTCGTTTCTTTGTTTGTCTAATCAGTAATTTAATTTCCTAACCAGTATTGAAAGCGTGCATTTGCCGGCCTCCGGACACAGGATGTCTACCCTTAGGAGGAGGCTTGCGGTCTAAGGAGGAAAATAAATAACAAACAAGTTCACGGTGATGGATGATGTGCCATGAGATAGTCGAAAGGATATCTTCCTTTCCTCTATGATGAGAAGAATACAGAAGGAAGCTTAGCAGATAGGCTGCTCTGGAAAGACTTAGAAAAATGGAGAGTTAAGTGAGGATGAGAAGCTCTGGTGGAGCTTTCCAAACAAAAGTGCCTGAGGCCTGAAAGTAGGCCAGTCTGGCTGGAGCATAGTTTGGGAGGTGGGTAGAGTTGGATGGGGTATATACAGAAAAGATGAGGCAGTAGAAATACAAGGTGAGACAGTATCCATTGCCTCGCAGGCTTTGTAAATTTAGTTTTTAAGTGCAATGAAAAACCATTAAAGAATTTCAGTTAAGGAAATACTATGATCTTGTATGTGTTCCTAAAAGTTTACTAGGGAAAGATTACAGTGACTGTTGTATGAAAAATAGATTGTAGGAAGCAAAGAAACCAATATAGGAAGCTAACATAATAGTCCAGATAAAAGATTAATGGTGGCTCATATTAGGGTTTTGTCAGTGAGGTTGGAGAGAACTGAAAGATTTGAGCTATAGTTTGGCAATAAAACCCATAATACTTGTTGAATGGCCCTGGATATGAGGGTGAATGAGTATATTCTGAGAGAAGGTGGGGACTGGTTATAGCAGTGAACCAAGTTTGCTCCTAACTCTCCACTGGATTCCCTGGTGAATAATATCCTACATTACACACGATGGGGTCCATGGAAATGTTTGTTCAATAAATAAAAAGAAAGCACCATAATCAATATCTTGACATTGCACTTGTGAAAGTGACATATATGTAAGTTAAGTCTAAATAGCCTTGCAATTTAATAAGTCACTTTAAATGAAAAACTGGAGAGCACACAGAATGATATATTTTTATCTTCAAAAGCTCCTCTGTGCTTTGCTAACTAGTATTGAATTAAAATTCTGACAAAGGCTGGAACTAAGTAGTTACACACTAAGCCACTATGAATAAAGTCAACATCGTTTGCGTTATAATAATATGGGATACCAGCCCTAGTATTTAGACCAGCCTCAATAATTCTTATTCATAGTCTGTCTCATTTCTACCACCTTGTATTATACAAACTACTCTACATTTCACCAATGAATGATTTCTGTAATCATAGTGTGAAGACAAGTAAAAGAATATTGTTTACGTGTAAAGAGGAGATCGTGTTGGCTGTGGGCAGAGAAAAGATGAGAAATTGTCAGATTCTAGACGAATTCTAAGGTTATAGCCCATGGGATTTGTTGGATATGCACTGTTAGACCAAAAAGAATCAAAGGTGACTTCTTGTGTTGATTTCACACAGCCAAGATTCTACAGTACTCATCCTCTTGGCCATCTAATCCTCCTTCAGTTCCTGGTCACAACTTTTGACAGCATGGATGGTAAGACCTGGTTATTTTCTTAATTTCTCTTTGTTTCATGGAAAACCACCCTTTCCTGCATGGACTTGTTATTCTATTTACAAAATAGTGAAAATGCTTTCCTACTCTGAGCATAATATTATTTCAGTGGTTCAAAAGAGATCTCATTTTAGTCTCTGAATGTTATATGTTTTCACCAGGTGAGATTTTTCTTTTCCCTCTGGCAACTGTAATTGTCTTTCATAATACTGCTTGCTGAGGTTCTTAAAATGTGGCAAGCATTTGCTAAGATCCTTACATATATTAATTTACTTAATTTTCACAGCCACTGTATTTTATAGACAAGAAGTCAGGGATGTTTAGTAACTTATCACAGGTCAAACTGTCAGATCAGGGATTTGAACCAGGAAGTCAGACCTCAGGAGCTTCCATTTGATGTGGAAATATGTTGAAATCGTTTTAGTCTTAGTCTAGATCTGACTTAAAATTCTGACTGTCCTTTCTTCTTTTGAGGGTGATGATAGTGGGGGATTGAACCCAGAGTTGCTTAACCACTGAGCCACATCCCCAGGGTACCTCCCACCCCCAAGGACAGCATCTCTCAAAGTTAAAACTTCTTAACAGTCTTTTCTGTTGTTGTTTCAATGTTGGGGATTGAACCCAGGTCCTTGTATATGCTAGGCAAGCACTGTCCCACTGAGCTACATCCCCAACTGTTAACAGTCCTTTCTAACTTTCATTTTTTCATAGATGTGTACACAATACTAGTCAGTAAAGAGATATTTCTCTTATTTGCAAAGCTTAGCCTGAAGCAGCATAAAAATGACTGTGTTGATTGTAAAGGGATCTTGACAAATAAAATGCATTATTTTTCTGGTTGCATATTTGAGGTCATTGTTTGAAACTAGATTTTTTAAAAAATTCAAGATTATTATACTTTTTAAAGGAAAAAAGATTATAAAACTGAATGTAGAAATTCATTACCCTGTGATATATATGAAACTCATTGCAATTCCTGTAGAATAGTTTATGTAACACAAACCATAACTTTTTCTATGAGGTGGTCATGAAAATAAGAGGTGCTTGGATATGTGCTAAGAAATCATAGTATCCAATAGGAAAAACTAATTTGGTTGGCATGGCTTCACAATTTGGCCAAAGTAAAGAGAATAAAAAGTTTACTGGTACTGGGGATACACTGTTGAACATTGTTCCTGCTTACATTTTCATCAAGGGAGTAAGATAATAACAAATTAAAAGTTAAAAACAACAACAACAAACTATCTTACCACGAGTCTCGAGAATGACTTTGTCTGCTGATAAAAATGCTCAGAAGAAAAAGAAAAATTGTTGATGCAGGAGACAGAGTTGGTAATTGTAGAGTGACATTCTTGAAGCTGAAGGAAAGGGAACTAGTATATAAACAGGAGAATTTGCTATAAATAGGACTGCACACTATCCATTGTCAGGAGGTAAGCAGAGAACATAGTTCAGATTTGGTAGTGAAAAATGAGGAAGCTAGTTACTTCTATTTATTCTGCAAAATATAAATCAAGGTCATCAGCCAAGAGTAAAGAGGGGTGGGGGTATAGGTGGTTTGAGGAAAGGCTGTGTGAAGTAGGGAAAGGGAAAGGAAATGTATTAGGGAAGCATTTTTTGAGCATTGTTGAATGCCTGTTTGATATTGCTGGCATAAATTTAAAAGTAGGCCAATTAGCATGATAACATGTCTTTTCCCAGTAATATTGACCAGGTAGTGTGCTGGCATAGAGGTGGTAGTTGGTTGGACTTATTCATGGTTAAGATTTTGTCAGGGAACTTGAGAACATGTGAGAGAAGCATGGGAATTAAGAGTCTTTGGGGGCTAATGATGGAGCCCCCTGGGAGCATTTGCCTAGCATGCACCTGGGTTCATTCTCCAGTACTATGAAAAAAGAAATGAAAAGAAAAAGAGTCAAGCCCTCTTCCTATGATGTACTATCTTTGGCAGCTAGAAATGAGAGGTAGTAGAGGCCTCTCTGCTTTGATTTAGAGATGTTGCAATTTCTCTGAAGCACAGGGAGCTAGGATCACCTCTCTTCTCATGCTCCATGCTGCAGTCTTGAAGTCTTTGTTGACCAAACAATTGAAACCAATTTTTATATGACATCTGACTCTTAACCATTAGGCTTGTCAGAACATTCTAGAATATAAGTCTAGCCCTTTGCTCTTTCCATCTGCTATGAGAGTATAGAGTGGTAGAAGGGGTTGGTTTGTTGATCTAGAGAACTCCTTACTAATCCAGGCTGCCACTGTCTCCTGTGAATCTGAACAAGTTCCTACTCATTCCAGCCCTTAATCTTTCAAATGAGGGCAATCGGTCAGATATCCTTGACATTTTGCTCTAAATACCTCTGATTTTATAAAGGAATAGTG